ACACTGCAATACCAGCTTTCACTTTTAGGTCTTTAAGTAGTACCATACCAATCACCAATTCTAGAGGAGAGTATAGAAGGGATTTTGCGATCTGCACCCTCAACAGCACTTTGTAACAAGACATCCTTTCTTAGCATATCAGATGGTCTCCTAAATGAGTTGAAGCCAATAGGCTGATCATAAAAGCTGGCTGATGCAACTTCTCTGAAATTCAAGCTACTGCTGAGGAGAGTCAGGGTTGACTGCTGAGCCTTTGAGAAGCACTGAGCAAACAGTGAAGGTCTGGTTCTCCAGGGCTCAGAGGCTACTGGAACAGTGCCCGCCTCTGGCATGTACTGCACTCTGCCTGGAACAGTGGGAAGCTGGAACCCTGCACTCGTTTCTCTGCCTATGAATCTTCCTTGTTCTCCACCAGGACTAAGTCAGGAAGTGGCTGGACAGCCTGCCTGGGTTTCACTCATACCTTGTGAATCACTTAGAGAAACACAAACAACCCATTCCTTTGAAAACTCCACCTTTGAAAACTAAAAAATCCAAGGCTTTTATCACACTAGCACAATTTTCCAGCATTAACAACAACTTAATCACACTGACACATGAACTCACCTTTCCAAGCACTGAATTTAAGTCCAATGCACTGGTCTTTAAAGCAGTGGGCTCAGCTCGGATTATGTTGGTTACATCCAAGTCTGCATCTGGAGTTTGGATCATCTTGGAGAGACCATCAACTGCAGCTTTCAATTCATACAGGCATTTTAAAATATCATCTTGACGGGACTCAAGAGCTTGAAGGGACAGGTCAGACTCTCCCTAAACAAACCAACATCAAAGTGTTCATTTCTCCGCACATACACGTAGTCTGTTTAAACTTCATCGCTTGTCTTCAAACCTCCCACCTTTAAAAAGACAATAAAATGAAATCGCAGAATCATCTCATTTTCCCCATAGTCAACAGGTCCTGCATATCGATCCACAAATGTTTTAAAACAAAAAAATGTGACTGAAAGCCACTTCGTATGATGCCTGGTTCAGGTATACGGTCTAAAATAGAGGGCTATAGAAAATGAGCACAGATTGTTGTTTTTCTTAATATCACACTAATTCAAAAAGTTTGCTTAAATAAGTAGAAACACGGGGTGGAGGTGGGAGCAATGAGAACATAACTCAGTAATTTACACTAATAAAAGGGAACAAGGAGCATGGATAGCTTAATAGGTTTCCTTTGGCTTGGAATTACGTCCATCAGGTCAGATGATCAGCTACTCACATCGTTTTCAAAGCAGTGCTGGCACCCTGATATCTTAAGATCATATAGAATCTTTTCACTGCTGAAATGTATAACTTCAGAATTAAGGAACACATATCCTTCATCCTATGGAGCAGTTCTACTCTGTAACACAGGATTGCCCTGAGTTGGAATTGACTTGAAGGCAACAGGTTTTTAAATCCTTCACTCACTGAATCTTTGCATCTTCTTGCTTACTATAGTGTCTCGCACACAGTAAGTGACGAATGGTATTTCTGATGAAGACATTTCAAACACCTATAGATTCCTTTTAAAAAACAATTATAGGCAGCCTCCCAATAGTCACATTGTACAACCTATTTCCAGATTCATGAGTTCTGACAATCTGTTTTGAGTTGAGAATAGAGATTACATTAAGCATGAGGAAAATGCTCGTAACTGGACAGAATAACCAAGAATACGGCAATGACCTTGTGTACTGTAAATTTATGCATACATGACACAGTGTGAGTGTGGGAGGAGTACTTGTTTACATTTGTGTGCTGGTAAATTTAAGGTTCTTAGGAACATTTGTTTCTCCACTAGTCACTCTTAATACTTTCTGTCACTCAAGCCAATTTATCACTAACCAAAAACCAAACCTGATTTGACTCAGTGACCCTACAGGTAGAACTGCCTACAGGTAGACCCTGCAGAGGAGACCTGCCCCATAGGGTTCCCATGGCTGTAATCTTTATGGATGCAGACTGCCACGTCTTTATCCTGCGGGAGCGGCTGGTGGGTTTGAACTGCCCACCTGTTTGTTAGCAGCTAACCACTTTAACCACTGTGCCAACAGGGCTCCTAATTCATCACTATGTACTGTCAATTTTAGGTCCTAAACGTTTCTTGAAACCACTGGCTTCTAAGCATGCCTCCACTGCCCCTGCCAAGTGCAAGCTGCCATTTCCTACTGATCATCTTGCACCCACTCTAGTCCACCCCTCCAATCCAGTCCTTAAGATGGCAGCCCAAGAGATTTTTAAAAAACAAAACTCAGATCCTGTCTCACCCCCCCCAGCTATACTCTTAGGCTCTCAGGATAAAAAGTAAAATCCTTAACGTGGCTTAACCACACAAGGTGTGATTTGGCCTCTAGCAACCTCTTCTCACATAATTCTCTCCTTTGCCCTTCGCTCTAGCCACACTGTCCTTTGGGTTCCTAAAACACACCAAGCTCCCTCCTGCCATGGGACTTTTATCCATGCTGAGCCCTTTCTTCGGAACACTTATCTGGTTAACTCACCCTCTGTATAGCTTAATCACCATTTTCTCACCTCTCCTACCTTGCTGCTCTTAAGATCAAACCGCATGGAAATGTACGATAATTGACTTCTGGGTGGAACAAAGAAAAAGAGTTCAGTATGCCAATGAAGTAATTAGGTGCTGACTGGAAATAAGTCTGAATGTAAGATAATGTGATGGGTAGGGCTACTCATGTTACTCTATGCTTGTCCTCCTGACTTAACATTTCCAGTATCTTTATTTGTTTTTGTGCCAACTGACATAGGTGTCCCGAAAATCTACGGTCCTTTACCTTCGAGCCTAGGAACTTCATCCCGAGAGGTGTTTGGTTATGTCTAAGGTTTCCCTGACTGTGCCCCTTGTGTGCTCTATTGTCTATATTAATATATGAGGAGCACCTACAGTCATGTATGTAGAAACATCCACCACCAAACCTATATCTGCTGGTGGGTGTGCTCCCTTACCCCCTCCCACACCTCTTGGCCTATCTACCTACCTGTGTATCCATTTGTAAATTATTGTTTAATACTATTATTGCAGGATTGTCTATTCTACAGTAGTTCCTATAGTTGCCCTTTATTTTTGTGTTCCTCTCAGTGTCCTCTCTTGCCTTGGTCATGTTGTGCTGACTTCTCCCATATTGTGTGCTGCCTTTCCCTTCACCAATATTAACATGTGTCTTCCATTTGGTAAATTTCCCTCCCTCCGCCTCCCATCCCTGGTAACTGTGAAAGAATTTTTCCCCCCCTTTCTTTTTTTCTGTGCATAAATTTTTTTGTTGTTACTTTTAAATAGTGCTCTCATACAGTATTTGTCCTTTTGTGATTGACTTATTTCACTCAGCATAATGTCCTCCAAATTCATCCATGTTGTGAGATGTTTTGCGGATTCATCATCATTCTTTATCGTTATGTAGTATCCCATTGTGTGTGTACCACAATTTGTTAATCCATTCATCTACTGATGGGCATTTAGGTTGTTTCCAATATCTTTTAACCACTGTATTTGTGCACAATCTTTGCACAAATGGCACGGGGGGGGGCGTACCTCCCACCCAGGGGCACAGATGCACCTTCTGGCTTCAAAACCTGTCAACACATACTGAAGAATGTATGTATTGCGTATGTAATGTGGCCTGTGATTTAAGAGTTCTGAGCCCAGCTTGACCCAGCCCTTTTGATCAGAGTAATGCCAAAATGCTCAAGACCTGTTTACCTCATCAGTATCTTCTAATGTTGGCCGGTTGTTTTCCTTGCTCAGACTAGGATTGTGGCTTAGTATATTGTGTTTATCCATGTGTTTTATATGTATTTAGAAGCAGTTTATTCTTTGTGTTGCTTTCATTTACCTTGGATATGTTTGATTTCTAAGTATTTGTCTATCCATGTTGTTATCATCTACTAGAGAATTTGCTAGAGGAGTGGGATTTTGTGTTCTAAATTACAAGTTCACAGAAAAAAAATCCAAACGAAGTTAGGCAGCAGACTAAAAAAAACCAAACAAACTTTGTCTCAAATAGTATGTGACATTTCTCACTTTGGGTTCTTTTTGGTTCAATGGGATTGTCCAGTTGCAGACAGTGGACTGTGTCTACTAAAACAGTTTGTCTTAGTTCTGTGGTGAAACAACAGTTAAGCCATTTGGTTTCAAAAGAACCTAACCAGTTCCCTTTCAAACTAGGCAGGAAACCATTAAGATAAGGAGAAGGATGACACTGCAAGGGAAACCAAAGATGAAAGTGTAAGTTATCCATTCACCTATCTTCAGTTAGAATGGGCAGAAAGTCTCCAGCTGGGAAGCTAAATGTGTGTATTTACAATCAATAAAAGAGTGAAAGACTTGAGCAGGTACTTTAAAAGGAGGCAATCAAAATGGCCAAAAAACATGAAAGGTGCTCAACTTATTTAGAAGTCAGAGAAATGCAAAAGAAGCTACATTAGGATACCGCGGCACAACCACCAGCTTTTGGAAGAGTGCAAGCAACAGGAATTCTTATACGCTGCTGGTGAGAGCATAACCAGGTAAAACCACTTTGGAAGACAATTTGTCTAGTAGAGTTGAAGATAAACATGCCCACCGAGCCGGCAGCAATTCCATTCCTTAGCAAATAACCTATGCCTGCACATACACCCCACAAATGTAGAAGAATATCCATTGCAGAATCATTCATAACAGCATAAAATGGAAAATAACGTCCATGAGCAGAACAGATAAATAAGTGGCAGTATAGTCATGCAATGGAAAGAAATACTGCAAAGAAAATATGTATTCCGTTGTTACATGCAACAAAACGATTCTTAAAGTCATAATGTGTAGAAAAAGCCGACAACCAAACACATGTTGTATGATTCCACTTACATAAACTTGAAAAACAAGATTATATTGTTTAGGTATGCATACTTCGATGGCAAAATCATAGAGAAAAACGGACATAATTATAATAAAAATCAGGTTAGTGGTGACCTTTGGGGGGACGAGGGAGGTAAGTGTGAAGGGTGGACCGCTTCAGAGGTGTTGACAACGTATGTCTTGAGCTGAGCGGTGGTTAAACTGAGATTCAGTTTGCAGATGAGCATTTATGTGTTATTCGTTTTTCTGTGGGTAAAATTTCTAATAAAACAGTTTAAATAGCCATAAGCGAAAAAAAGGAAGTCGCTGACTCCAGGCCCCACCCCCCCGCGGAGCCGGGTCTCTCGGAGGCCGGCTGTCGCGGGCGGCTGGCAGCCGCGACATTTCCAAGTCTGTCGGGACGCGTCTGCACCAGCCCAGGGAGTCTGCTCTGATGACCTTCGGGTCGCGGCGCCTGCGCACTAGGAAAGTGGGGGGCTGGGGTAAGGGCCCCGCCGTTCTCTCCTACCTGCACGTGGCCCGCGCCGGGCGCAGGGCAGCCGCTCCGGCCGTGCACATTAGGGAGCCGGTACATGCAGGTTGGAAGGTCTACATGGAGAGGTGCGCCGCCTCCGTGATAGGGTTTTACCTGGTACATCGGCATCGCAGCAACTCAAGGAGGGAAAATGGAGAGTGCGTGACACGAACGCACTGAAACCGTGAAATGCCACGACGGACTACTGGCGTTCGGGATAAGCGCCTTCCGGCCGCTCTAATTGGTTGGGACCATTCTGACGTCACGGACTCAACCTTTGACACAACCAATCAGCAAAAAGGGTATAGGGAAGACTTGCCTCCTCGCGCGGAAGAGGCGGAGCACAATAGCGGAGACAGCCAATGGGAGGCCTGGATAGGCCGGAGGCGGGGACCCTGTGGGAGCAACGGCGGCAGGAATACTGCGGCTGTTGCAGAGGCTGGTCGCGCTCGGTATTCATGGAGCGAGCTGAGGGTTCCAGGTGAGCAAGACTATGGGTTTCCTTCCTGTCGCCGTCGCTAAGGCCCAGCGCGTTCCCGGTCCCTAGGGGAAGTGGCCGAGGAGCTCGGCGAGCCCGCGGCGCGGAGGCCCCGGAGCGGCATCCTGACCTGGTGCCTGTTTGGCACCTGAGGGTCGGAGTCGGAGCCCCTCTCCGCGCCCTCGGTGCGCTGGATGGGAAATTGGCTCTCTGAGGTGCTGAATTCGGCCAGCCCCCAGGCTGACGTATGTGAACTTGAATGCAGAGCGTGAAATCCAAGCAGACTGAATTTATTTATTTCCTTTTACAATAATATTTTATCGTGCTTTCGTGAAGGTTTACACAGCAGTTTAGGTTCCCATTAATTTCTACACAAGTTGTTCAGTGTCATCGGTTACATTCTTCCCAATGCGTGAGCATTCTTATTCCGTTCTGGATGTTCCCGTTTCCATTAATCTAGTTTCCTTGCCCCCTTGCATTCTTATCTTTGTTTTAAAGTAAATTGTTGACCGTTTGGTCTCGTATAAGTGATTTTTAAAAAAAAGAACACAGTGCTTACAGGTGATATTATTTTTTGAGCCAATTTGTTATTTAGCTACATGAGTTCATTTATTTTTAAACATAATGTGTCTGTCTTCTTCCTCTTCTTCTAAGGTTAATTTTTCCTATGCTTCAAGGCACACGTTAATTTGCATACTCGCACCGTTTTTAAAAAATGCAGTGCTTCTGTATTTCTTTGAATATGTGATTTTTCTGCTTAGTAAGTTACACTGAATTCAGGGTAGCCAATCTTCCAAGTCTTCTCCCGGCGCTGCTGCATTCAGCTTAAGATTTGTGGACACCCATTCGCCAACGGTATTTACCTGTTCAAGCCCCGCTCTTCAGATATCAGAAATGGACCTTTAGCCAACAGTGCATTGCCAAATAAACTCCTTTTTAGAGCTACTTCTTTCCATTTTATGTGGGGTCATGTGGAGTTTCCGCTAAGACAGACTTGAGGGACATTCATTGCAAGGTAGAATGAAGAGTAAAAATGTTTATTCCTTTATTTCACAAGAGTTTACTGGGGTCTACTGTGTGTTAAGGAGCCCTGATGGTGTAGTAGTTAGGCGCTCAGCTGCTAACCCAAAGGTTGACGGTTTGAATTCACCAGATGGTCTGCGTAGAAAGACTTGGCAATCTACTTCCTTAAAGATTACAGCCTTGGAAACCACTATGGGGTAGCTCTTCTCTGTCCTACAGGGTCGCTATGAGTCGGAATCGACTCGACAGCAATGGGTTTGGTTGTCTTGGTTTGGACTGTGTGTGAGATGTTGTGGGAAATACCCAAAGATTTCTCTCCTGAGAGCTGCCTGTGTTGTGTTATACCCAAGTTATCAACCCCTTTCCTAAAAGTCGCTAGATGAATGAACATGTGGAATACATTCTTACGTTCTTTAAGTAGAAACTTACCTAGCGGGTATCATGAAAAATAGTCTGGACTTAGCTAGGCAGAGGAGGAGGTGGGAAGCAGTCGAGAGACCTTGTAGTCAGGGTGCAGTGTTAAAAGACCTGTGGTATCATGTCACAGTTGTTCACTGTGATGAGAATATAGGGGACTTGGGGTGGGAGGAGGATTGAGGGAATGAGAAAATAAGGTAGATTGGCACCTAATTACCACTAGATTTTAAACCTTATGCAGTAGGCAGTGAGGCACTGATACGTTGTTTTACAATTTTTTTTTAATTTCAAAAGTAACACATGATAATTATTAAAAATGGAAACATTTTTGAAATTATCTAACTTTTTTTGTAGATATACAAAAATACCTTTGTGTGTAATTGGTACATATATGTAACTATTTAAGACAAAATTTTGATCATGTTATGCACATTCTTTTGCAACTTGCATTTTTCCAGTTGTTGGAATTACCTGTAGATTTATGTCATTTGTTATAACAGCTGGATGTGTTCCATTCTAAGGTTGTGCCTTTATTTAACCAAGGTTTTACTAAAGACTATCACTGCATACTTTACACAGTGTTTTAGTAGGATAAATTCCTGATAAAGGGCTTCGTAGATCAAAGGATATATATATGCATATTATAAGTAAACATATATACATATTACTATATGAATATACATATATAGTAATAAGATTGGGCAAATCTGCTGCAAAAAGACCTCTTTAAAGTATTTAAAAAGCAAAGATGTCACTTTCAGAACTAAGATGTGCCTGAAAAAGCCACGGTATTTTCAAATCTCCTCATATGCATGCGAAAGCTGGACAATGAAGAAGGAAGACCAAAGAATTGATACCTTTGAATTATGGTATTGGCAAAGAATATAGGCAGTCCCCAAGTTACGAATGTCCAACTTACGTTCAACCAGTAGTTATGAACCAACCTTTAAGTAAAGCCAATTACATTAAAAATTCAAAGTTTGTACAGTGGTTCGTAATAACAAACAAGTGCTACTTTGTGACAGGCATCGAAACATTATTATTACTGTATTATTATGTTAAAGATTTTTTAGTGTATCTGGAAGTGTTTATTGTTTTTTGTGCGTAGAAAGTTACACTATACATTATATACTGAGAGAAACGTTTGACTGACATTAGATATGCACCCCTACCTGGCTGTTCTGACTTATGTACAAATTTGACTTAAAGACAGACTTAGCAACAGAACTCATTCGTAATTCGGGAACTGCCTGTATTGAATATACCATGGACTGCAAGAAAAACAAACAAATGTGTGTTGAAAGAAGTACAGCCAGAATGCTCCTTAGAAGCAAGGATGGTAGGACTTCATCTCGCGTACTTTGGACATGTTATCAGGAGGGATCAAATCCTGGAGAAGGACATTATGCTTGATAAAGTAGAGGGTCAGCAACAAAGAGGAAGACACTCAACGAGATGGATTGATACAGTGGCTACAATGGTGGGCTCAAGCATAACAGCGATCATGAGGATGGTGCAGGACTGACAATGTCTCGTACTGTTGTGCATAGAGTCACCATAAGTCAGAACTGACTCAACGGCACCTAACAACTAACAATAAGATTTTAAACCAGAAATTTTTTGACCGAATTTGTGATTTAGAAGGATAACTCTGGTGATACTATGAAGGATGGATTGGAGTAGGTAGAAAGTAGAGACAACCCAGTTGGAAAACCCTTAAAGCAGAATTAACAAGAACTTTGAGGCTTCTTGCTAAGGCAGCAGCTGGCAGCCTGGATTTAGAGTGAGGATTCAAGGGCAAATAGTGGAAGTAGTCATCATACAACTGGTACCCAGTGTCTGAGATGGTTTTGACCTGAATACTGTTCTTACTTTCGTGAATTTTGTGGGAAATGTTGCTTTCATTTTTTCAAGAAAGAATATCCTATTGTTGCAAAGGATTATTGACTGGCAGTGTGAGGGGTTGTTGTTAGCTGCCATCAGGTTGGCCCCCGACTCATCGTGACCCCATGCACAATGGAATGAAATGCTGCTTGATCCTGCACCATCCCCATGATCTGTTGTGGATCAGGCTGTTGTGATCCATAGGGTTTTCGTTGGCTGATTTTCAGAAGTAGATTGCCAGGCCTTTTTTCCTAGTGCATCTTAGTCTGGAAGCTCTACTGAAATCTATTTTTCATCACAGCAGCACACAAGCCTCCATTGACAGATGGGTGGTGGCTGCACATGAGGTACATTGGCTGGGAATTAAACCCAGGTCTTCTACCTGCATGGAGGGCAAGAATCCTACCATTGAACCATCAAGTTTGAGGGATACCTCAGTATAATTAGATGTTAAATATATACTGGATTTGATGTATCTGTTCAGAAATATTTCTTGACAGATGTTTAAGGATTATAAAAACAAAAACAAAAAACCAAGCCTGTTGCCGTAGAGTCGATTTTGACTCATAGCGACCCTATACAACAGAGTAGAACTGCCCCATAGGATTTCCAAGGAGCAGCTGGTAGACTCAAACTACCAATCTTTTGGTTAACAGCCCAGCTCTTAACCACTGTGCTATCAGGACTCCTTAAGGATTATAGAACAACGTTTATATTCAGGAATAAGGTAAATGTATATGTTAATATGACAAATGAATATAGTAGACCTATTACGATTAACAGAGATGAATCATTTCCCACAGGTAAAATTGGGATGACAATACATAACTGCATACCTCTTTGTTTCTCGTAATTGATTTTTTTAGTACAGAACTTGCGAAGGCCATCAAACCTATCGATCGGAAGTCAGTCCATCAGATTTGTTCTGGGCAAGTGGTACTGAGTCTAAGCACTGCTGTGAAGGAGTTGGTAGAAAACAGTGTGGATGCCGGTGCCACTAATATTGGTAAGTCATGAGGATTTTAAACTACCTGAAATAATCAGCTTATACTGTTTTATTCAAGAAACGTTTGTTAGTGTAATAAGACAGTCAAATGTTGATGAATCAATAAATTACTATTATTTTAACTTAAATTTAGCATGTATTATATGCCTGCTGGACCCCTGGTGGCACAGTGGTTAAGAGCTCGGCTGCTAACCAAAAGGTCAGCAGTTTGAATCCACCAGCCGCTCCTTGGAAACCCTATGGGGCAGCTCTGCTTTGTTTTGTAGGGTCACTATGAGTCGGAATTGACTCGGCAACGGGTTTTGGTTTTGGTACGTGCCTAGTAAGGGCCTTGGATGGCGCAAGTGGTTTGCACTTGCCTAGTAACGTAAAGGTTGACATTTTGAAACCACCCATCATTGCCACAAAGGAAAGTCCTGGTGATCTGCTTCCATAAAGATTATAGCCAAGAAAACTCAATGGAGCCGTTCTACCCTGTAACCCATGGGGTCACTGTGAGTTGGAATTGATGCAATGGCAACAGGTTTGGTTTTGAGTTTTATGTGCCTAGTATTTAACTGTTATTGTTGTGTGCCGTTGAGTCAGTTCAGACTCATAGCGACCCCATGAGACACAGTAGAAGAACTGTCCCGTAGGGTTTCCTAAGCTGAAATCTTTACAGGAGCAAATCACCAGGTCATTTCTCCTGCAGAGTGGCTGGTGGGTTCGAATTGCTGACCTTTTGATTAGCAGCCTAGTGTTTAACCATTGTGACACCAGGGCTCCTTAGTATGTATCTGGGTAGTAGTAATAATAATAACGGTTAACTTTTATTGTGCTCTTACTACTGTGTACGAGGTAGGCATTCTGTTAAGAACCATACATGGAATACCTCATTTATATCTACAGAATAACCTTATGAGATAGGAATAATAATAACAGTAATGTCTATTATTGTTACTATTGTCTCCGTATTATAGATGAGGAAATAGGCACAGGGAATTTACTTCTTTTAAATTGTACTTTAGAGGAAGGTTTACAGAATAAATAGTTTCTCCTTAAACAGTTAGTACACATATTGTTTTATGATATTGGTTAACAACCCCAAGACATGTCAGCACTCTCCCTTCTTGGCCTTGGGTTCCCTATTACCAGCTTTCCTGTCCCCTCCTACTTTCTAGTTCTTGTCCTTGGGCTGTTGTGCCCCATTAGTCTCGTTTTGTTTTATGGGCCTGTGTAATCTTTGGCTGAAGGGTGAACCTCGGGAGTGACTTCATTACTGAGCTAAACGGGTGTCCGAGGGCCATACTCTTGGGGTTTCTCTAATCTCTGTCAGGTCAGTAAGTCTTGTCTTCTTTTGTGAGTTAGAATTTTGTTCTACATTTTTCTCCAGCTCTGTCCAGGACCTTCTGTTGTGATCCTTGTCAGAGCAGTCAGTGATGGTAGCCGGGCACCATCTAGTTGTACTGGACACAGTCTGGTGGAAGCTGTGGTAGTTGTTGTCCGTTAGTCTTTCAGACCAATCTTTCCCTTGTATCTTGTTTTCTTCATTCTCCTGTGCTCCTGAAGGGGTGAGACCAGTGGAGTATCTTAGATGGCTGCTCACAGGCTTTTAAGACTCCAGACACTACTCACCAAGGTAGAATGTAGAACATTTTCTTTATAAACTATGTTGTGCCAGTTGAGCTAGATGTTCCCTGAGAACATGGTCCCCACAGCCCTCAGCCCAGCAATTTGGTCCCTCGGGGAGTTTGGATGTGTCTGTGGAGCTTCCATGACCTTGCCTCGTACAAGTTGTGCTGGCTTCCCCACTATTGTGTACTGTCTTATCCTTCACCAAAGTTACCACTTATCTATTGTCTATTTAGTGTTCCACCCCACCCCTCCCCTCCCTTGTAACCATCCAAGATTGTTTCTTTTTGTGTGTAAACCTTTTTGTGAGTTTTTACAATAGTGGTCTCATACGATATTTGTCCTTTTGTGATTGACTTGTTTCACTCAGCATAATGCCCTCCAGATTCGTCTATGTTGTGAGATGCTTCGTAGATTCATCATTGTTCTTTATTGTTGTGTAATAACTCCATTGTGTGTATGTACCATAGTACATACCTCGTTTAATCTACAGAATAATCTTATGAGATAGGAATAATAATAACAGTAATAACTATTATTGTTGTTATTATCTCTGTATTATAGATGAGGAAATAGACACAGGACATTTATTTTTGAGGTTATACAGCTAGTAAAGTGTGATCTCAGGAACTCTGATTACAGAGCCTATTCTCTTTAATGACCAGGTTAAAATTAGTCCTTTCAAAAAAAGAAAGATTTTTCCTTAGATAAGTTGGTGTCAAGTGCATTATCTTCAGTCTCACTAATTCTGCCTTCCGTTGCCTCAGTTCTGCTCCAATGACTTTCTGTTGAGTTGTCTAATGCTGAAATTTTATTGTTAATCTTCTGGATTTCTGATTGCTGTCTCTGTATTCTTGCAGCCTGTTAAATTTCTCATTATGCTTTTCTCTAATCTTTTTAATTTCCTCTGTTGTGTGTTCTGCATTTTGCTTAATTTCCTTCCTAATTTCTTGAAGAGTTCTGTATATTAATCTTTTTATTCTGCCTCTGGTAATTCCAAGAAATTTTTCTTCTCTGGAAAATTTCTAGATTCTTTATGTTGGGAGCTTGCTGAAGTCATCATGGATTGTCTCTTTATGTGATTTGATACTGTTGTCTCTGAGCCATCAGTAAGTTATTACATTTACTTAGTTTATGTTTGCTTACTGTGTCCTCGCTTCTTGTTTTGTTTTGATATGCCCAAATAGGCTACTCGTATGAGCCAGTTTGATTATTGGCACCTTTGAAGCTCTAATGTCCTGTCACCAGGTGGTTAGATCTGTTACTAGGTATGTGAGCTCAGGAGTCTGCCCACTCCTCCTATATGGTGCTTCCTTAAAAAGCTAGAAATAGATGTACTGTGATCCAGCTATCTTGCTCCTTGAAATATATCCTAGAGAAATAAGAGCCATCACGTGAATAGATATATGTACACCCATGTTCATTGCAGCACTGTTCACAATAGCAAAAAGATGGAAACAACCTAGGTGCCCATCAACGGACGAATGGATAAACAAATTATGGTATATCCACACAACGGAATACTACGCGACGATAAGAACGATGAAGTCGTGAAACATAACGTGGAGGAACCTGGAAGGCATTATGCTGAGTGAATTTAGTCAGTCACAGAAGGACAAATACTGTATAAGACCACTATTATAAGAACTCAAGAAAATGTTTAAACACAGAAGAAAACACTCTTTGATGGTTACAAGGGTAGGGAGGAAGGGGGAGGGTTATTTACTAACTAGATAGTAGATAAGAATTATCTTAGGTGAAAGGAAAGACAGCACTCACTACAGGGGAAGTCAGCACAACTGGACTAAACCAAAGCTAAGAAGTTTCCTGAATACAATCAAACACTTTGAGGGATAGAGTAGCAGGGGTAGGGGTCTGGGGACCATGCTTTCAGGGGACATCGAGGCCATTGGCATAACAAAGCTTGTTAAGAAAGTGTTCTACATCCTACTTTGGTGAGTGGCATCTGGGGTCTTAAAAGCTTGCAAGCGGCCATCTAAGATGCATGAATTGGTCCCAACCACCTGGAGTAAAGGAGAATGAAGAACACCAAAGACACAAGGAAAGTATTAGCCCAAGAGATAGAAAGGGCCACATAAACCAGAGACTTCATCAGCCTGAGACCACAACTAGATGGTGCCTGGCTACCACCAATGACCGCCCTGACAGGGAACACAACAGAGAGTCCTGGATGGAGCAGGAGAAAGGTGAGGTGCAGAACTCAAATTTTGGTGAGAAGACCAGACTTAATGGTCTGACTAAGACTTGAGGTACCTTGGAAAGCATGGCCCCTGGATTCTCTACCAGACCAGAACTAAAACAGTTTCCGAGACCAACTCTTCAGACAGGTTTTGGACTGGACTATGGGACAGAAAGTGATACTCGTGAGGAGTGTCCCTCTTAGAGACTAAATGGGCAGCTTCTGCCTGGAGGTGAGGTGGGAAGGCAGAGAGGGTTTGGCGCTGGTTGAATGGACATGGGGAATCGGGTGGAAAGGAGGAGTGTGCTGTCACAGTATTGGGAGAGCAATTAGAGTCACATAACAATGTATATATAAATTTTTGTATGGGAAAAAAATTTAAAAAGTGAAAAAAAGAAAGAAAAAGAAAATACAGAAAAAAAAAAACAAAACTTTTTCATTTGGGCTCTAGTTAATACTCAGAACGACTTTGAAAAATAAAGTATTATTCCAAATGACAGTAGTATGTTTAAATAAAAGTACAGTTATGACTTCTAAATTTACATTGTAAATTATAAATAATGTCACTATGAAGGTTATGAGCATGGATTGGTGCTTTGAGAAATAAATATTTTATGTTTTTTAGATCTAAGACTTAAAGACTATGGGGTGGATCTCATTGAAGTTTCAGACAATGGATGTGGGGTAGAAGAAGAAAACTTTGAAGGCTTAAGTAAGTTGGATTTTTCTAATCCCATTTTAAATTATTTGGGCAGAGTATCTCAAATTTTTAATTAACACTTTCTTAGAATACACAAAACACAGCCTTTTACAATCAGTTACTTTGGGGGATATTGTGTGTTTTCATTGCTAGATTACTTTTGATATCTTGGACCTTATTTTATATCTCTCTTTCAGCTTTGAAACATCACACTTCTAAGATTCAGGAGTTTGCTGATCTAACCCATGTTGAAACGTTTGGTTTTCGGGGGGAAGCTCTGAGCTCACTTTGTGCACTGAGGTGATGCAGTGTTTTATCCATCGACTTGACCCTTCCTAACATTCTCTCTGAAAATTGAAAAGTATGGCTGGAATCATTATTGTTTTAACTTTTTGATCTGAATATCTTAACTTCTAAATTCTGAGTTCTATTTTATCTTACTACCAATCTAAGTGCTAATACTTCTGAGATATAAGTTCCAGTGAAGCAAACAGTTTTATTAAAGAACAAAGTTACCCTTTTTAAAATAGTTACTTCTCAATTTTAAAAGAACATCTAGATAGTAAGTTATGGGTAACTTTTGGAGTCCCTGAGTGGTGTAAACTGTTAAGTGCTCATCTGCTAACCAAAAGGTTGGAGGTTTGAGCCCACCCAGAGATGCCTTGGAGGAAAGGCCCAGCTATCTGCTTAAAAATATCAGCCATTGAAAACCCTATGGAGCACAGTTCTACTCTGACACACATGAGGTTGCCGGGAGTCAGAATTGACTCGATGGCAACTGTTTTGGTACCATTGGTTTTAATTTATTTTCAATTTTTAGAAAAAAATTTAACCAATCCACTTATTCAGTTTGCAGAATATATTCTAAATTTTTCTAAATGCTTATACACATGAACTACAATATCTTTTGAATCCTTTTAAAAGTTTTGTTTGAACAACAGTAATAAAGCTGAGAAGTAAATCTTTGTTTGAGAATATGTAAATTTTGAGATCCTTCATTGTTTTGCAGTTCAGCCAGAAAAAATAAATATCAAAGTTTTTATCAAAACAGTTTCCAGAATTCTCTGTCTCACTCTGTATTAGGTGCTAAACCTTAGATTCTTGATGGCTCTTCGCCCATTTAAACCCTCTTGATTATTACAAGGATCATCATCTTTTTGCTGAGAGTTTTGAGAGAAAGGAAAGTGAGAAGATACGTTTGTGAATGTTAACGTATGTGAGTCTCTAACTAAACGTTCCATGCCTGGTGTTTTCTTACAGTGATGTAACTATTTCTACCTGTCACACGTCTGCAAAGGTTGGGACTCGATTGGTGTTTGATCACAGTGGGAAAATTGTTCAGAAAACCCCTTTCCCCCGGCCAAGAGGGACCACAGTCAGCGTGCAGCAGTTATTTTATACGCTACCTGTGCGTCATAAGGAATTTCAGAAGAATATTAAAAAGGTATAGTCAATTCAGAATCCCAGTTTCCCAGAGTATTAATGGTATCATGTACGTATGTAGGAGAAGAACTCCTAAAGCTTACTTGTCAGTTGCTTCTCTTTCCTTTATTTATTTATTTTTGAGCAGTGCTTCTTCCCATCAAAGTCTTAACTTCAGGATGATTTTCTTTTCTTTTCTTGAAAAGAATCATCAAATAGTGTTTTTTAAGTGTTCTGATATGGAAAAAGGAGTCCTGGTGGTGCAGTGGTTAAAGTGATCAACTGCTAACCAAAACGTGGCAATTTGAAACCACTAGCAGCTCGGCAGTAGAAAGATGTGACAGTCTGCTTCTGTAGAGATTTATAGCCTTGGAAACCCTATGGGGATGCTGTGAGTCAAAATCAACTCGACAGCAGTGGGTTTGGGTTTTAATATGTAACATGACTCCTTTAAGAAATAACATTATTTTTGGATTTTATCCTTATTTTTTAATAAGATTATTTCCCTTGGCTTCCCAAAAAATGAATTATTAGAATCTTCATGACTTCACGTGAAAACGAAGCAGTGAAAATGTAGCTAGATGTTGTATAATTGTTCTGATAAAAAAGCAGATTATAAAACTGTCTGTACTATGTAATTATAGTTTTGTAAAAAGAAAAACAACTGGCCTAAATATGCATAGGAAAAAGACTGGAAGAGTAGACACAAACGTTAGTGGTTATCCTTGAATGTGAGAATGTATGTGCTTTTTGCTATCTTCCTCATACTCTTCTGTTCTGTACATACACTGCATTGAACGTGCACTTTTTTATAGTCAGAAAAAAGTTACTCAAACGTAGCTAAAAACTTTCTTTACTAGGAATGTGATTTGTGCTATTTTTAACTTTCTTCAAGTATATTTACTACATGGGAAACTTTTATTATTATTCATATGGTAAAAAAAATTAGTGTCTCAGAAAATACAAGAATAAGGTCTTGTACTTGTTAGAGATAACCATTGTTAAAGTTTGAGCTGTGTCTTTCCAGACTCCTTATAGTTTCATGTGCTTATAATTATTGAAAAATATTTCAAGATAAATTAACAAATATAATGAAAGCAAGTAATATAGAGAGCCATGCATTCAAGTAATATAGAATTGTATGTGGTAGAAAGTTGAAAGTTATATATAGTAGAAAGTAAAAAATTCCCCTAGAGTTTGATTTATATCCTTTAGACTTTGAATGTGTACATGTATATACTATCTTTATATGTATGTTTAGGTTTTTTTTAACAATTAGGATCAGGCTATATAAACTTGTTTATTAAGGATCCTTGGTGGCACAGTGGTTAAAGAGCTCAGTTGCTAACCAAAAGATCGGCAGTTTAAACCCACCAGCAGCTACACAGGAGAAAGATGTGGCAGTCTGCTTCCATAAAGATTACAGCCTTGGGAAATGAACAGACACTTCACCAAAGAAGACATTCAGATGGCCAACAGACACATGAGGAAATGCGCGCGATCACTAGCTGTTAGAGAAATGCAAGTTAAAACCACAATGAGATACCATCTCACCCTGGCATTACTGGCAAATCAAAAAAAACTGGAAATAACAAATGTTGGAGGGGCTGCGGAGAGATCGGAACTCTTATGCACTGCTGGTGGGAATGCAAAATGATACAACCATTTTGGAAAATGATACGGCGCTTCCTCAGAAAGCTAGAAATAGACATACCATTCGATCCAGCAATCCCACTCCTAGGAATATATCCTAGAGAAATAAGAGTCGTCACTCGAATAGACATATGCACACCTATGTTCATGGCAGCATTGTTCACAATAGCAAAACGATGGAAACAACCTAGATGCCCATCAACAGATGAATGGATAAACAAACTATGGTACATACACACAATGGAGTACTATGCAACAAGAAAGAACAACAATGAATCTGTGAACCATCTCACAACATGGATGAAACTGGAGGACATTATGCTGAGTGAAATAAGTCAATCACAAAAGGACAAATATTGTATGAGACCTCTATTGTAAAAACCCATGAAAACGTTCACACACAAAATGTGACAATCTTTGTTGGTTACCAGGGATGGGAGGGGTGGGAGGGAAATACTAAATAGGCAATAGGTAAGTGGTATCTTGAGTGAAGCGTGAGACAGTATACAATACAGGGGAAACTAGCACAACCTGTACAAGGAAAGGTCATGGAAGCCCCATAGACACATCCAAACTCCCTGAGGGACTGAATTGCTGGGCGGAGGGCTGTGGGGACCATGGTCTCGGGGAACATCTAGCTCAATTGGCATGACACAGCTTATAAAGACAGTGCCCTACATTCTACCTTGGTGGGTAGTGTCTGGGGTCTTAAAAGCCTGTGAGCAGCCATCTAAGATACTCCACTGGTCTCATCCCTTTGGGAGCAAGGGAGAATGTAGAGAACAGGATACAAGGAAAAGATTAGTCCGAAGGACTAATTGTCCACAGCTACCATGGCCTCCACCGGACTGAGTCCAGTACAGCTAGATGGTGCCCAGCTACCACCACTGACTGCTCTGACCAGGATCACCACAGAGGGTTCTGGACAGAGCTGGAGAAGGATGTAGAGCGTAATTCTAACTCACAAAAAAAAAGACCAGATTTACTGGCCTAAAGGAGACTGGAGAAACCCCGAGAGTATGGCCCCCAGACACCCTTTTAGCTCAGTGGTGAAGTTACCTCCGAGGTTCACTGTTCAGCCTGGGAGTGGACAGCCCCGTAAAACCAAATGAGACTAACGAGGTACAGGAGTCCAGTGACAAGGGCCAGAAAGCAGAAGGGGACAAGGAAGCTGGTGATAGGGAACCCAAGGCTGAGTAAGGATATTGTTGATGTGTTGCGAGATTGTTAACCATTGTCATAGGGCAACATTTGTAGTAACTGTTAAATGAGAAACTATTTTGTTCTGTAAGCCTTCATCTTAAGTGAGAATAACAGCACAATTTGAAGAGCATAGTCAATGTCACTGAACTGTGCATGTAGAAATTTTTGAAATGGTGTATCTTTGGCTATGTGTATTTTCACCAAAAAAAAAAAGGTTGAGAAGTTAGAGGGTTAATATGTTGTGGGGTTGTTAACCGATATCATAAAACAACATGTGTACTACTGTTTCATGAGAAACTATTTGTTCTGTAAGCCTTCACCTGAAGTACAATAAAATATTAAAAAAAAAAAAGAAAAAGAAAAAAAGATTACAGCCTTGGAAACCCTATGGGGCAATTCTCCTCTTTCCTGTAGGGTTGCTATGTGTCAGAATTTACTTGGCGGCAGTGGGTTTGGTTTGGTTTTGGTGGCACAGTGGTTAAGAGCTACAGCTGCTAACCGTGTCGATAAGTGAAGAGTGAGTGTACTTTATTCTTTATCATGCCATTGCTGGATAGATACGCCATAATTAAATTAATTAGTTTCAGTGAATGTTTTTGTGATATATCTTGGTATGTTTATGCCAGCCTGTCTACAAGGATAAATTTTTGAAGAGGGACTACAAGGTCAGAAGGCATGTCCTTTTGATTTTTAAGCAGTGGACATGGACCTTTTGGAAATGAGAGGAGTGTGACTGGGAGCCAAAGGCCTTGAGTTTCACTGTATACCTTTTGGGGAGATGCCTCTTCATGGATCATTCTTTCTGTAACATTTCGTGTTTATAAGGTGAAATGAGAACCTTAAATTGGATGTTACAATTTGAGTCCTGTCATTCTTATAAGATTGAAGTAATGTTGAGTTTTGTGTTTGTGTTTTTTAAACAGGAGTATGTCAAAATGGTCCAGGTCTTACACGCCTACTGTATCATTTCAACAGGCATTCGTTTAAGTTGCACTAATCAGGTTGGACAGGGAAAACGTCAGCCTGTGGTTTGCACCAGCGGAAACGCCAGCATAAAGGAAAATATTGGATCTGTGTTTGGACAGAAGCAGGTAGTAGTGACGAGTTACTGAAAAACATCTTATTGCTCTAGTGATTATGGCAAGTTTTTATTTCTTGTCCTTTCCAAGAAATGCTACGTAGAGGGTAAAATCCAAGACTTGATTTCTGTTAGGTACCTGTCACAAAAATTATTTAACGTTTGCAAGCTGAACGTTTGTAATTTTATTCTTCCAGAGAACGAAGTAATGCATCCTTTTACTTTCCACCTGAAAAAATATATTTTGGGCGAAGTACTGATTATGAATAAGTAGGAATTCGAATGTTTCATCTTTTTAATAAAAGAAAATTATATCACTTCAAAAAGCAGTTAGCAAGGTTCTTTAAGTTTCTTTGAGTTCTTAATGTGAATAGCTTCACTACAAAAGAAGACACAAAAACCCTCATTTCATCTTCTTTTCTAAAGTTAGGTTCACTCTGTCTTTATTAGGAAATAACTGTGTATCTTGGTTTCTTTTAGTTGCAAAGCCTCATTCCTTTTGTTCAGCTGCCCCCTAGTGAATCCGTTTGTGAAGAGTACGGTCTGTGCTATTCTGAAGCTGTGCAGAATCTGTTTTGGTAAGTAGATTGCTGCCGAGAAAATTCCAGTCCAACATTTTTCTTGAGGATTTTTTTTTTTTTTTTGCTATATAGTGATTTTAAAGCTTCTAGTTTCTTATGTCTATTATAGAACTGTGGGCAGTATTATTGTGAGAAAGAGATTTGTATAAAGGACTCAGTTACTTCATTCATACAGTATTCTGGGTAAATAGTACATTTCAGGGGGTTTACTTTGGAATTAGTCTTTCTAGTAAAAGCTGTGTTATAGTGAACAATTAGAATAACTTTTTTTTTTAAATTTTTTTTTATTGTACTTCAGGTGAAGGCTTACAGAACAAATAGTTTCTCATGAAACAGAAGTACACATGTTGTTTTATAACATTGGTTAAC